GTTTGTATCTTAAAGCCAGTCATTCCGCAGTATGCCAGTTCTAACACTTTTGAATAAACTTTACCCGGAAAACTCAACAAAATAATACCCTAATAATTGAGGGACTCACTGCAGTCTCCCTTGATGAACAGGATACTAAAACCCCCTTCTCCAGTCTACTGGTTTCTTCCCCGTATCCATCACAGTTTTACAAGCAGCACAATATGCCTTGCTCGTCCAAAGGTTCAAGCATTTCACGGCTTATTTCGTCGATTTCACCACCTTTTAACTTTACAACCTTTCTACAGTTTCTGTGACTTCATCTATTGCAGGCAGATAATCAAAGAGATCTACTTCATCTGTTTAGAAGTTCTTCAAAGTACTCTCGCCATCGCAAGGACGTCTTTATTCTTGGAAGAGGGTGTGAGGACTAATCCTTTAGGACTCTTCAACTGTCATTCCTTCCACCTCAAAGGCAACGGATGGTCCGCCGGAATAACTTGTTTGCCATCCGGAAATTCCGCTCCAGAAATTCACCGAACTTTTTCCATGAATCAGCTTTCACTTTGGCCACAGCATTCGTTTCCGGTTTGTGCCCATTTTGGACTGCAAACTCTTCGAATTATATTGAACTTTCTTGGCTTCCAAGCCATCTCTTGAATGCAGCCTCGTCAGAATACAGTTGTACTTCTCTGTCCACCGGGAAGTTCGTTTTCCACAGCCAGGCAACAGGCCAACCCATTTTAAATCAAAGCATTTAGCAGCAACCCTTTGTAAGCCGCCCTTAAAGAGTTTTTACATTAGATCTGGATCTGTTTAATCTGACGTGCGATTACTGCATGTTTTGCCCTCGCATCCGCAGAAAATAGTATTTCCCACTTGATATTCAGGTTGCTTCTGCCACATGCTTTTCGCACACCGTCGCTTACAGCTCTGCGCCTCTCTTCACGAGAACATCGATCACAGAGCATCACAAATCACACGATAACAATATTCAAATCGGCTTCTGGACTGAATGGACTTCTGTGCATAAACTTCCATATACCAGGTACACTGCTGCTCGTTTCGATGACCTAAGGTGTTCATAAGACAGTTCGTTGTTTGTATAAAATAGCAACAACCTCGTGTCGTTATTGTTGAGGTCGCTAGAGCCGTTCTTTACAATGACGCCTTTCCCCTGCTCAGCGTCTGATTCAACACGCGCATTGAAATTGCCCAACAGAAAGATCGATCCCGTGAGGTTCAATAAAGTAATGCCGTGATAACTGCACCACTACCTATAGTCTCTCTTTTTAAACAAAGGTACTACCACCCGGGTTCTATAGCCCACTAGTATCACCTAGTATTTGCCAATAGGCATGTGTCATCCACAACGTTACACCTCATTCTTCTAAAGCAATAAACATCTTAGGTCGAATTTCATCGATTTTAACCGCATCGCCACTTTTCAAACTGCTTTCAGCTTTCGCGTTATCATCTAACCGAAATATTAATATTCTCTTTTTGATGCAGTTTAGGCGAATCTTCTTGCGCTTGTTCAGAGCTAAAAAGTTCCATACGGTACTCTCTCCACCACCGGAGTATGTCTTCCTCCTAGGTAAAAAGACGTTCAGAATTGTCCTTCAGGACTGTAAAACTACCGTTTTTCCATCTTTAAGGCGGCTAATGGTCTGTCTGTCTGAAATCGTCAGACGAAGGTATCAACTCTGAAACTGACAGCCATAAAAAATGATATTGTGCTCCTTCGACGTATGGCGAGGGATTAAATCAAATAATTGATACAGATGACCACCTGCAATTGCATAAACTCTGCTGATCAATTCGTGATCAAGTAATTGCGCACAGACTCGGTGAACACGCGCAGTTACCACGAGGGAATCAAACAATACAATGAAAATCATCGGTATTCACAGTTTGACAAAGGCATCGTACTTAAGTCACATATAACTACTCAACAATTTATAACATGATGGGCTGCATTAAGCAGTTGATGCAGATGACCACTACTAAGTTACAAGTTACATAGCTTCAATGCGGCGACCGTATGACCGAGCGCTGACACCTACCAGCAGTCTGCGCCACAAAGTCGTAGATTCAGTTTATACCCGCATTTTATGCTGTTTTCAGTACGACGTATACTTGCGTAAGTTAGCGGTGGAAGAGCTATGAATTTTAATACGACTAACTCTACCGATACAAATGGAGTTACAGCAATTCTGCTTTTTCCCGATTCTAGGGGTCTACTCAACGACCAAAAAACTCAATAGTAACTTTGCGCCAATTAAAAGAAATTTCTATACACCAATCAACGAACGCTAATTCAGATAGTAAAATAAAGTACCCTTTGCGACGACCATTCCCAAGCCACTTGCTTTGGCTTTCTTTATTGCCAAATCCATGCAAAAATTTCCAACCACGGGTCCAAGCAAGTTTTTCCCGTCCACCCAAGCGCTGGCTGCTTTTTCTTTCAAGATCACCGGAGTACCAGAACCGGCACAAATTTTCGTTTTAAGATCAACCATGTACATGCCTAGAAAGTCCAAAATTTTAACGATGTACATAATAAGGGACTCTACCAACGGTATAATCTTACGTGACTTAACAGAGTTTGTTTTAACGCATATATGAGATATACTGTGATAATCTTCCTTGTGAATATGTTGCTTATACCAACCCATTCTTCAAATGAACAGTGCGAACGTCTAGTTTCATAAAATTACGGTGAGTGTTGCTGATGTAGCAGACAGACAGAAATACAGACGAATACATTTGTATTTCGACGGCCATTTCTCGCTTCCATTTACTGCCGAGGCAAAGACACTATTGTCCAGCGTAGCCGCAGTTGCGGCTGATGGAGCCGTTCTGAAATATTTAATTATTTGATTTATTTATATTTATTCCTCATACACTGGCTTAACTGCTAAATTGGCTGAAAATCTGACAAAAAGTGTATGATGGTTGAGACGTA